ATGTGCTATGAAATATTTGGGTACTATAAATGAAAAGTAATATCTGGTTGTTAATATGCGAATACAAAATAATTGAGTGTTATTTATGTAAAAGGCCCTACTTTTCTATTCATTTGGTGGAAAATCTTCCTTTAGTGTCGATTACTTCATTTTTTTTCATACATTGTTATGATTTATGGGGTTGCGAGGGATTCATTTGCATTTATGGTGATTGATTTTTTGTTTGGTTCAATATTTAATGCTAAAGTTATTAAACGCTTTCACTTTTGCTTTCCCTCTTACTAGTAAGTAGTGCAATGAGTAAGGTCAAAGAGGTTCGATCGTCGGCCATGTGGGACAAGGATGCCACCAATATTTTCTATGATATATGTCTTAGGAAGGTCGAGCTAGAAAATAGACTGATCACATATTTAACAAAAAAGATTGGCAAAATGTTATGGTCAAATTCAAGAAATTGACAGGAAGGAGTTATGATAAGATAAAATTTAAGAACAAGTGTGATTAATTAAAGGACAGAAAAAATCTAGAAAGAACTTAAGAGGGGATCTATAGGTTTGGGCTAAGATATAGTGAAGCAAACAATAAATGCACTTGAAGATTTGTGGGCTGAGAAACTAGAAGTAATGACATATCAATGATCACTTTCCTATTTATTTTTAGTTATAATAAATTGGTTTAACTAATCCAAGTTGCTATGTTGTGCAGGTAGTGCCAGCAGCTAAGAAATTCAAATTCAACGGCATTGATCCGGTATTGGAAGAGAAGTTGGGTGACATGCTCAGTGGGGTTGTTGCAACGGGAGCTCATGCTTTTACCCCAGCTAAGCGCGACTTCATCGGCAAACCAAATGACCTGGGAACCAAGGATGTAAGTGACCCAGGGTCCTATCAAATCCAAAGAAAAGTTGATTTCACAGACGCTTCAAAATGGCCCGGGGTGGAGAAAAGAAAAAAAGGAACCACATTCATTAGAGGCTCAGCGGAAAAACTGCTTGAATCCTGCTCAGTTAAGCCTACTGCCTCACAAGATACATCCGTTGAGGGGTATCTTCGAATCCTAAATATACATGCTGAGGTTAAAGCAGACATGAAACTATATATCAATTGTGTTAAATTACTACAAGATCCAGTTCATAGAAATTTTTTTATGAAGTTGGATGCAAAATACCGAGTTGATTTCTTACGCTCATTCCTGGAAAATTTAATGTAAGTTGATTATAATGTGTGTGCACCGGAAAGAGGTTTCCAATATGCTATTCTTTGGTGAACCGATCAGTTACCGAGTGAATATGTCTCTATCAATCACACTTGAGTGAAATTGAATTGGATAGGTGGGAAATACAAAAGAATTGGTGCTATTCTTCGGTGACCCGATCAATTGCCGATTGAAAGAGGTTTCCAATATGCTATGACGTAATAGGAAGAAATTGTTCAATAAACGACACTCCTTACGCGGTGTGATTGATAGATCATTCGGGGTATGGAAGATGTGGGTGATATTACGCGATATGTTCACCTACCCGTTTCATAAGCAAGTACAGATAGTTATGTCCACCAAAGTGGCATTTATATAAATCTTCCATTTTTATATTCTTGAAAAAAAATTGAATTTGGTATTTTTTATTTATCTGTTTTCAATTTCTACGATTCTTTTTATTTCATCTAATTTTCTGACTGATCTAATCTCCCATTAAAATAAATCTTCCACTTTTATATTCTTATATAAAAATTGAATTGAGTATTTTTTTATTTATCTATTTTCAATTTCTACGATTTTTTTATTTTATCTAATTTTCTGACTAATCTAATCTCTCTTGAATAATTGCAGTAAGATAAGCTCCAGGTTTTGAGGGAATTTCGGGCAAGTGTTATGCCACTGCGGACTGTCGCCCTTGTTACTCGCGTCATGCCGACAACATAACTACGGGCGGCAGTTCTACAAATGCACGCAGTGGGCAGACGGACCGAAAGACTGCAAGTTCTTCAGGTGGGCAGACAGTTCATCCAATTCTATATCATCCAACCGGACAATGTTGCTCAGGGTTCGACAGTATCACAACCAGAAAACGTCGTTTGTAGTTTGACTGTTTCTCAACTAGACAATATTGCTCCGGGTTCGATCCTGCACCAATCGAAAAATGGTGCTCAAGACATGCTTCTTTTACATTTTAAAATGAATATTATAATTTTTTTGTTAATTGTAATTTAAATGTCTTTTTTTTAATTAGGTATTTTGAAACTCATTTATAAGTGAGGTGTACATCATAATTTTGTACTGGTATGAAATAATTATTTTGTTCTTAACTGTCAAATGTTTAGTCGTTACGGTTCTGGTGCAAACAGCAACACTGCTGTTTGGTTTGTGCGTAAGGAGTGTCGTTTATCTACAAAAAACTGCAAATCAGCTGTTTTCCAAACGCACAAACCAAACAGCTACACAGTTTATCCAGATCAGGGGCAGAATGATCATTTATCCAGAAATGGCTTCAATCTAGTTATTTTTCAAACGCACAAACCAAATAGCCACCCAGCTTATCAGAATAAGCTAGTGATCAGCAACTTATCAGAATAAGTTGTTTATCTGGATAAGCTAGATAAATTGCAGCTGCCCCAAACAAATCCTAAATTAATAAAAAATGAACTGATTTTAAACTCTTCTACAATACTAAATGAGACAAATTGGTGAAAGAACCTAAGCCTTAAAAATCCAATTCTCCACTGCTATGCGTCTATCCCTTGGTGCAATACAGCATAAAACAACTTCATATGCATCCCCAATTTGATTCTGGGCATTATAGAGATGAGCCAGAGGCCAGTGTGATGACAAGTGCTCGGTATCTCTACCCAAGTTGTCCCTTGAAGAGACATGCATTGCACTATTACTAATTTAAAGTTCACCGTGGAGGCACAAATACCATAACAATAATTTCAGTGACAAAAGCAGATTGTCCAACAGATGTTAGAAGAAAATTTTTAGCACAATTTCTCAAATACTACAAAAGCAGTATACTTCTCATTACCTGTAGCATACTCTTTTAAGCAGTTATTAATGGCTGGTTTCAATAAAGAAAAAGCTAATAAAACATAACTATTGCTTGGCTAACAGAAGGATCAATTTTCTGAAACTCATATTCAGATACCCTCAGATTCATAGCTTTCAACTGACCAGCTAACTGTAATTCCAGTGAAATGAAAACTTGTCATAGTCCATGCAGGTTATAGTCGTACAAAATATAGACTAGTAAACTAAAAATGATGCAAAACCAGAGAGTGTTTACCAAATGACGCAATCATAAGTTAACAAACATGACTTGATTTACGCGTCACTCAAGTATTCATCAAACGATCCAACTTCAACTTAGTTATAAAAAAATCACTAGATTACAAATGCCATTAAAGATTACTTGAATTATGATAGAGTTGTGTTATAAGTTGTTATGGGTTAGTAGTTAATGATAAGGTAAATACTGCTGTATGGGTTGGGTGAGTGGTTTATACTCTCCATTACAGAGTATAAGGTAGGCCCTTTGTGGTTCTTCTCTTTTCCATCTTCTCTGCCTTCCGATCTTTAGAGTTTCCAACAACCTCAAATTGATGTTTAAAGAGCTTCCTCACTATTTTTGGCAATTCTTCCAAAAGGATCATATAAATTTATGCAGGATTGTAACAAATAACGTTTCAAAATATAAGAAATTTATCTCTACATATATATGGCATTCAGAGTGCCACAAAAATAATAAAGAAAGAACTGCTAGTCTAAATTGGCAAAATCACAAGATAACTGCATTTGTGCTAATATTAAATGTTTCTTATGATCATATTGTAGTGATAAGTATTTTTGACAATTTAATATTCACAAATTTCAATCATATATGTAGTCAACACATTCAATGATTACCAGACATTCAAATATATTGGTTTTATGTGTGAAACCTACTTAACCTACTGGTTAGGTGCTTTGTCTGCAACCACAAAGCCTTGTGTTCAAGCACATTTTGGTGTGTACATGAATTTAAGAGAAAAAAAACACTCTTGGTTTTATGTATCTTATGATTCCATATGAAAGTCTTTCACATTCCATCATAATGTGCGACCAAGAAAATGTATCAAAATATTTTAACATATTTTTTAAGCAATAAAGGGTGCTATTAAATATTTTATCACAACAAGCTCAGTAGAACAAACTTTTTCTATAATATTCCACTATCACTTTAAAAATCCCTCAACAACACCATATTCAACTTTAATTGCACCAAATATATATATATATATATCTTAATGTTTCTCTTAGTCCTACATCTTACAATACAATAACATCCTTAAACCATCAGCAATTTGACAAACATTTTGAAACTTTGGAAAGAAAAAATTGCCTCAGCTTAAATAAAGAATAATCATTTTATGGCTACTCAACAACCTTTCCAACTAGAACAAGGGGCAGTAAATGCTGAGATAAATACAATCCATCTCATGAAGTATTCATTTTTTATTGAAAAGAAATTCAATCCAATAGCATCACAAGGCTTCTCAATCCCAAACTTAATCAACATTTAAATCTTCCTCGACAATTGAAGGAAAAAAAGATTCAACATGGTGTCCTAGACGTCATCATGAACGATTTAATAATGTATTTACAATTAAAAGTGAAATGGAATAAATAAATAAAATAAGTTAAGAGAAATAAATATGCAATCATTCTTTACTTTGTATAAACCACTGAATAAAACAACTCTCTTCCTACATTCATTTATCATTCAGATGCCACAAATCTCCAACATTTCAACTTAATGCACTAAATAATGACCACCCACATTAATTGAAGCAATAATATGAAAAATTTGCCCAATGATAGTGCATAAGGGAACATAAAAGAACAATAAGCACAACAAACAAGGAAACAAAAAGAATAAAAAAGGATACTTGTTTAATACATTTAGACAAATATCATTAGAACTTTGTTCTTCCCAGAAAACATTAGAGGATGTCTCATTATATGAAAAGAAATAAGCAATTAATAGAAGTGCATCTGAATGACTTGTTATTACCAAAGAAACACAATGATGAGATTAATAAAATTGATGCTGGTCTACACAAGTGCTGCAATGGTCTTTCATAATCATCAATAACAAGAAATTAAATTGATTTATGTGTTTATTGCTTATTCACCATGAATATATAACACCACGCTTTTTATCTCCCATTGTCATCCATGGGAACATTTCATCTCCATGCGGACTGTTTCACAGCTCAATGTTGTCATCCATCAAGAGGACAAAGATAAATGATCATTGTAAACCGTCAGACCTTGCTAGACCACCATAGAAGAGCAGAACACGAATGAAAAAACTGTTTAAGTTATAGTCATATGTATATGAATAAGAATTAATAGAAAGAAAAATTTTACATTAGTCCTGCAATTCTAAGCAAAGCACGAACAATCCTTGTCAACTGTTCATATCAATCTGTACTTTGGTATTTAATGCAAAGCCTAACTATAGCGCAAATCAAATATCAAAAAATTCAATATACCAGAGGCAATTGTGAAGAGAACATATTTAGAATTTCCAAAATAAAACAAAACAATTTGTTTCTTTCTTGGTTTCATAGGGTAGTCTACTGAAGAAGTCAAGGAAGGAGATGAGAAATTCATATGTAAATCTCACCAGACAAAGATTTCTACCTTTTGCTGCTGATCCTCTTCCGTTGGGCCTCTGCGAGCTTATCAAGAGCGGACTGGACTGCGTCGCGGCCGCCAATGAGAAGGCGGGTGATAACTTCGGGGTCACGCTCGAACCTCGCCTCCTCGAACTCCTGCCGGGCGTTGGACCGGAGCACATCTCGCCACGGTATTCCGCGGGCATCGGGCCACGAAAAGAACCGCGTCGCCCGGATGATGTCGCGGTAAAGACATAGGGCCTCCCGCCGCGTGCTGGTCAGCCGCCTTTGCTCAGACAGATCGAACTCCACTTCGTCGCCGCCTTTCTGCTTCTTCACCAGGTGCCTCCCCAATAATTCCTCTAACGTGTGCGGGCTCTCATGGATCGACCGCACTCCGTCTCCGGTGACAGAAAGAGGAGAGCACAATGGAGAGATAACGCCAGCGAGCCTCCGCCACCGCGCTGTCAGAAAGATCGATGTTAGGGGCCTCGGAATCATGGTCGGTGTTCACTATCCATCAGGAAAGGCACCTAGTTTTGTAAGTTGGGTGATGTCAGTGAAAAACAACTGGACGGAATGAGACATTAAAATGGTACTATTTTCATCAAAAAAAAAAATACAACAATTTAATAAAGCAAAAATTTCATTATATTTTCTAATAAAAGAATATTTAAAAAAAAGTTCACGCATGTATTACACAGTTTTATTTATTTATATTTCTAATGTCTAAATTTGATTTTTAGATTTATAACACTTGAGTATTATAAATCAAGCATGAAATAATATATTTTTAAATAAAACTAATAAAAATTATATTTTTTTGCGATATTAAAATTTTGAGTGATATACATGTAAGTAAATAAGAAAACAAAGCTGCAAGATATGTAAATATATAGCAATTTTGTGTTATATGCAAATGATCAAAAAAAAATTATCAAAACTTAGCCTGGTAACTAGTGTTAGTTATTTTTTATTGTTTTAATTTTTCATAATTTATTAAATGTTTGTTCTATTTTATAAATTTGAAAACATTTTTATTTCAATCCCTTCTTTAAACATATTGAAACATCTTTATAATTAAAAAAGTATTTATATGATATTTATTAGCTTAAGTTTTAAACTAAAATACCTATATTTTCGAAGTTTTTATAATTTAAAACTTTTATTAAGAATACTAATTTGTTCAACGATAATTATAATAGATTAAAAATGTTCAACAATAATTATAATAGATTAAAAAATAAATTTTATATCATAATCAATTAAAAATAAGTTAAACAAAAGGATTATTCTTACTTAAATATTTAATCAAAATTTTTATTTTATTTTCTTATATACTCTCATAATATGGTTTTAAAAATCAAGTTGGACCTGATCTGAACGATCGATTCAACTATGAATCGTCATTCAGTCGGCTAAGTACAAGCTTAGAAGTGTTTCTACATAGAATCGAGATTGAACTAAAAAGAACAAAGGTTGAACTGATGAACCAATGAACCGATTTGGTTTCTAAGGAATTAATGGTTGAATTATTGTCAAATTTTAGTATTTTGATTTTGATCAAATAACTAGAAATAAAATATTTAAAATAGACTAAGAGAAAATAATATGAATTATTTTTTTATTTGGAATATTGTACAAAGTTTTCTATATTATTGCCTTAAATTTTATCATGATTTGTTAAATTGTTAAATATGATATTAATGTTTTATTATTTTATAATTTAAATTTTATTAAAAAAATTTAAAATATTTATTTTATCTTCCTATTAAACCTCTGATTCAATATCTGTTGAACCATTGCTTGTTTCAAGTTTGTTGTCATTTTACAATTTTACTTGTAACTATTTAATTTTATATATTAACTTATCTACTTTTGGTGGATTCACCTTTAATGAAATTGGTTAGATGAACTATTTTATTATCAATTTCTTAACATATTAAATTTCTCATGATTCTTTACTAAGAAAAATAAATCATAAATGGGGTTTATATTTACATATGTTCTTTTTCTTTGCTTATTTTTAAATTAATATTTTAAAAATTCACTTAATCATTTCTATTTAAATATCTATGCATTATTCAATAAGATTTAGTAATGACATTCTATCTCCAATGTGATTCATACCCTATTTAAAAATAATAACAAGTAAAGGTTTTTTAAATTAATTTAATTCACCTAAAGTTAATACATTAAATTTTTTAACAATTCATTCACTAAAAATTATCCGCTGGACCATTCTTCGAGTCTGTTTGGGGCAGGCGCAGCTTATTAATAAGTTGTTGATAAGTAGTTGATCCATATAAGTTGTTGATGAGCAGCTAATCCGATCAAGGTAGTTGGTTGTTTGGTTTGAGCGGTTGAAAAACAGCTAATGACTATTCTGCTCCTCTACAGTGATGTTGTTTGCAATAGAACTGTCATAACAGTATATTTGATGCTTGAGAAGAAAAAAATGACTTCAGAACAGTATAAAAAATAAAATGCACACCTCACATAACAGTGAGTATCAAGATTGATAAAGAATTAAAAAAAAACTATTAAAATTACAATTAAAAAAATTATAATATTATTTTTAAAATCTAGACGGCGTATGACATGAGTTGTGTCGTCCTCCAGGGATAATATTGTATTAAAGCCACTACCTTTACCTCAACAATTTAGAAGCATAACAATTAGTGCGCTCAATTTTTTGTCCTGAGCTCATAATCAAACATCATGGAGACACAAAACATACATATATTGAGATGTGAGAACAACTAAATACAACTAGATCATAAGCTAACTCATAATCACCCTCTTCTCCAAAAATTTAAAAATTTATGTGCATGAAATAAAAACCATAATTTCAATTAAAAGACTAAAAATTTTATAAAAATTTGAACAGAATACGTTTATGATAGACTTATCATTAAATGGATGGATCATATTGGCACTTGTTCTCTGTTGCACCTCTTTAGCTATGCTCTCTCTAGGTTGCATAGTTGCTTCACTCCAAATGACCTAATCACCATAGCGTCTGACATTCTCTACCTTACATGCTGGGTCATTTTTTGGTATAACAACATAAGCAAGTACTCAATGATGTTTTGCAGCCAAAGCAACTGTTGCAGCATGATTACCACTATAATCAAGAAAACATGAAAATCTTTGTCTAAATGAAATGGAGAAACCATAATAAAATTAGGATCACAAATCTATTCTAAATAAATTATAGGATAATTGACCTGCTATGAGTATTAACTCCTTTAGCCGCCTAATCATCTTCTAGTAAAAATATAGCATTTGAAGCTCCTCAAATTTTAGAAGATCATTTGAAGAAAAATATTATTGCAAATCATAAAGAATATTATATCCAAACTAAAATAATAAAGCCACGTGAGAAAATAGTAGCCCAATAAATTGCTTAAAGCCTCTGACCCCTTTTGAAAGCATTCACACTTGAAAAACAATAGTTTTCTTGAAATGGAATCTCTAGATGTTGAGGAGAGAACTGGAGTCTAGTGAATGTAGGGGGCTGGTGCGAGTGTGTGCGTCTTTTATGGAATCAATGTCAGCAACATACTTTTGATTCTTCAACTGGTTTACTCCCTCCATTATAACATAAATAAGTTGTGATTGTATAATATTCTCATTATGCTAATAGCAAGATACAAATACAGGAAAAGTAAGAAAATAAAAGAAAAAAAATCATCTCTAGTTAAATGCTAGGAAAACATCTGCAGATCTGTCGATCTATTAAAGTTTTTTAAATTTAAATAGTTAAAAAATGAAATACTACAAAGAAGGGGAATGACATATTTTATTTACTGGTTATTGAATTTCAAAGTAATCTTTTATTCAACAACATAAAGCTTTTTTATTTTTCTTTATTTTATTTTGCATAATTGGAAGCGAGTCTCATTTACGTCTCTACGTTAGGCAACAAAAGGTGTACAAATGTATGATTATAGAAAATTCTCCTACACTTTTATTTCAAATCCAAATGCAAATCTAAATGGAAGATGCATAGCAATTAAATTTGACTATTTCTTATTTAGAAGATTTACATAATTCAATTCTTATGTATTTCTACATCTAACACCTAAAATTCAATTTTCACATAATACTCAATTCTTAACAAAGAAGCCCCTATTGACATTGAGTGTCATTTTTTTCGCAACAACTACAAATGAGCTTTTGTTGGCTCTCATATCTTCTTAGTGACTTAGTTTTTTATCTACCCAACAATCACTAATCTATTAAGATAATGTTGGTGACACAAAGTTATGCTCTAATCTTGTATTTTACTCCCATATAGTGAAAAAGTTTAACATGCCATGATTCCAACCTCTAGCGACACATTCCTCTTCTACAAAATAATTGGCCACCAAACCACATTCGTGTACACACTTTCTTCTATTGTTGGCCAAGATTGGACTCCACTTTTTGAGCTCCATCTTACAGAATCAGGATAAAATAAATGCAAAGATAAAGTTGTTAAGTGGCAACAGCAAAGTATCCATGTCATCTGGCTTGGCACACGAGAACTAAAAGCCTCAAAATCAAATCAAGTCAATCAGTTATATCTACATGGATTGGTATTCTGACCATACCAGCAATTAGACAGTTAATTAAGTTCCAAAATATGGCAAAAAACTTGACCCAATTTATATTTAGCAGCTAGTGTGCAAAATAAGTATGTTATAGAATTTAAAATTTTGATTAATGGTTTACACACAGGGTGTACTATGCAAGTATATGTATCGTTTCAAGTAATATAGAACTTTCCATAAAAACCCAGTATCGAATCCACAGGAAAGAATAGAATTTATATTTCAACTTAGAAGAATTTCTATGTAAACTGCAAACAAAATATGTATGATAATAATATTGAAATGTTTGTAAAGGGTTAAAAACTAATATTTGTTAACTCTAATTTTAAAGCTAAAAGTAAATGGATTTTTTTAAAACTAGTTATGTGTAAAGGAGTTCGAATAATATGAAAAGTTTTTCCTCTTGCAAGGAGATTATAACCAGTGTAGAAATCAAATGTTTAAAGTTTAAAATGTGATTTTGTGACAAACAGGATCATACATATTCATTACCCTCTCTTGAGTGCATCAAGAAAATTGTCTAATCTAAAGCTAAGTTCTTAATTTATATGGTTATGCTGAGTATATTCTAGCCTCCCACATCCAGATTACCCACTGTGTCATTTTTATAGAACTAACCAGGACTTAGGTTTTGAACTAAAGACCAAATTGGTTAAGGTTGTAGTTGTCACTCTAGAATCACCAATTCTACGCCTATCAAAACTTATCTCCCTATATATTTGCAATCCCCTTAGAAATTAGTTCCCCTCATCCTAAGGTTAGTGTGGCATTCATTACTTTGGTGAAATCATAGCTCTCCTGGGTAATTATGTCTCACAATGTATTTTAACATTGCAAATGACCAATTTGTAAAGAAAATTAAGAACCGATGAAAATACAACCACAAATTTTGGAATAAAAGAAATTTTCAAAACATTCTAATCCCACACATGATTACTTCTTATTGCAAGGAGAAAGATAAGAAAACTACTCAGAATTCATGGGGATAACAAAACAAAAATTGATATATATTAAAAACCAAGTTTAGAAAAAACTTAAATAAAAATACAAAGTACTTATCTTAAACTTCTTTCGAAGCAAATTATTCTGAAGTTTCATTAATGTCTTCTTCCTCCAATACACACCAAAACAAGACTCTAACTCACACACCCACAAAACTCATGAAAAAACTACACTCAAAACCAATGATTTCTACCAACGCCTCCACCAATGGCTCTTTAATTATGGTCATTGACTCTATTAAATAGAGCTCTCAAAAGCACCAAGAGTCATTTCAAGAACCTCTTCATTATTCATCCAAATTCTCAAAGCTCATTTTATTTTTCTAAAGATATGTTGTCAACTCAGTAGGTTATACTTTTTATAGTATGTTATATTTTTATCTTTATTTACTTTTGTTTTGCCTTAGTACGATCGCAGGTAGGCTCTTTAGGGTAAAAACTTTTTTATAAAAGTAAATTAAAAATTTTACATTTAACAAATTCTAGAATTAAATTTTACAAGATTATAAAATTAATAATTTTATTTTTTGAATGACCATTGATCAGAATTTAAAATGATAATAACCGCATAAATATATCCCCAAAACATGCAAATAAACACTCTGCATTAGGCCTTTTAGATAATTACATTCAAATTGCATGTCTTAAGGGGAAGCATTCACTCTTCTACAACCTGAATGGCCAAGAATATTTTTCATACGCTTAAGAGGCTTTTGTCTTCCACATTTAAGGAGTTAGAGGCAGCCCCACCTTCACAGCCAATTAAACTTAAGCGTCTTGATAGCTTGCAACGATAGATCCATAGAATCCTAACCAAATTATTTATACCTGTCAAAGAGTTCTTTCTGGCCTACCAGTGATTAGCCCCATTAAGCACTTTTTATACTCTTTTGTTGAGTCATTTTGTAGTCATCTTATAAACCCTATGTGTTGAGGGGTAAGCTAATCATTGGGTTACGGTCGTTCGCTCTACTCAGTAGCCTAAGCTCTGTCTTGATAGTTGGATGTTTCTCCTACTAAGATGGCAAAAATCACCTTGACATCCTATTTATATAGAATCATAGGAAGCACACATAATTTCTTTTATCAAGATTTTTCTTGGGTATCCTCCATGATATAATTGACATTGAGGATATGCCATCATGAGAGATCCTTTTAAATTCAAAATAAAATAATTTAATTTTGTTCTTTAGTTTAGATATGAATATCTTGTATAAGGCTTTCCTTATTTATTTACTTAGGTTGAGCACAATCTAATTCATTTAAACCACTTATCCAATTCAGTTTATAAGGACTATTTTAAAAGATACTTTCATAAATTCCCTTTTCATTGATATAATTATTGAATTAGAAGTACCATGTATGCATCCATGCAAGCAAAACTCAATCTAGTCCACCCATGGATCGTCACTAGCAATCCACTAAAGCAATTTAAGTATGCATTTTTTAAAAACCAAGTATGGAAGCTCATTGTATATTTCTCCACATTCAAATGCTTATCCAAAAGTTCAAGCATCAAATTAATCAAGTGATTTCATGTTTTAAGTGACTCATGCATTTAGAATGGCTTAGCCCCTTCTTCCTTAAACTAAACAACAACCTTTTTCTCTCTTTAACTTTTTTTTTTTTTTGCTTTATGATATTTGTGCTATTGAATATGAATGGAATAGCATATGAATTGAATTTGAAAAAAGAATTTATATTCTCTATGATGTTAGTTTGGGTTATAGCATGGAGACATACCTTGCTCTTTTCATTTGCTAAGAATTTGTATCTAAATACAGATTATTATTTCACTTTTTATTAATGTTTTACCAATTTTTCATCACTTCTCATGTTCTAAAGTTCGCTGAAACAACCACTTCATCTCATACAAAAAAAACTATAGCGAACCTCCTTTCAAAATCCCTAATTGAGCTCCTACTCTTCCGAACACCTCTACTCTTCATAATATCTATCTACAACCCCTAGCACCCCCTTCTCTTCTTTCCACCACACCTGAGAATAAAAATCTAGCCTAGATCATCTACTAGTCCCTTACAACAATCATCACTCCAAGTGGTCTCAAAACAAAACTACCAAATCCACCCGATGCTGACAGAAACCCACGTTAGCAAAGCCTTCACTTAAAAGTACTTTCAATAGTCTTCTCTTGTTCCCCAAATGAAATCAATCACTTCTTCCCTTGTACCTAAATATCGACTCCCTATTATTAACATCACAAAGAAAGATGGTTGTTGGTGGAGGTTGATGGGTGTGATGTTTTTTCACTACATGGAATGGACCGTGTAATCAGGCTTTCAAAACAGCATTGTGAAAATTTTAATGCAATATTTGAATCTTACATTGTTGGTTTAGGATCTCTCTGATGTTGCAGCAACAGGATGGCTTAATAGGGAACAGAATGTAATCAAATATTCTCCGTTCTCTTATAAGGTCCTATTTTACAAAGAAAAAATTAATTGTTACGATGATAACAAATAAATGACCAAATATTAAAATAATTTTTTTTTAAATTCAAATAAATTTAAAAGAAAAAAATAAAATATTAATTAAAACACATATATGCATGTGCTCCCACCATCACCATCACATACATGTGATCTTCATCATTATAGTGCCAAAAATGTCCTTGAACGTTAATAAAAAGTCACTTCAAGTCGTTTAGCGAATACAATCCGAGCAAAAATAGATTATGTTATATACATTGATACATCACAATATCATGATAAATAGTGTGAGATCTAAAAAATAAAAAATAATAATAAAAAAAAGCTTCTTACTGACAAAAAAATGTGGGAAACATGGAAAAAAAAAAATTATGAACAAGAAAAAGACCACCTAAGATATGTGTTTGCGTTTGTAGTACAAGTGAAAAAGTTGGGCTTACAAATAGATTTTACAATTTGCACAAATACAATTTACTCGTAAAAGAATATCAATGGCTAAAAAATTACATTAATAAAAAGCCTCGTATATTGGCCAAACACACCTTACCAATCTAAAAATAGATGAGATTAAAAATATGAGGTCACAATTGCAATTTGGTTCTCCACATACATCCGACAACCTTTTTAGGAGAAGGATCATTAGGTCCTTTGTCTCGCTGCCCAGAAGTGAAGTATAACCAACCATTCCAGAATCCAACTAAGGTCGTTTTCATACGGAAAGGCATCCGTCCAATGACTGACCATTCCTGTATATTATGAATAAATTCAATTGTGGTCAGACATCTACTAGAGACCTAGAAACATCAAGTTAAAAACGTGAAATTGTCAAGTAAACTTTCAACCTAGAAGTTGAAGCATTAGGTCGAAGAGCATCCCAACTATTGAGTGTAACAAACCCAAGCTGAATCATGAGCCAGCTAGGTCTCAGCCCTAAAGTGGGTCACAAACTAAGCTCGATGAGACAACAAACCAAGCTCAAGCCAACATTTACTCAACTTGATAGCTCGTGAGCCAACTCCTTTAAAATATTATTAATACAAAATATATTCGCAATATTTTAAAATTGAAGTCATTATCTTAGATTATTAAAAGAATAAAAAAAACATATTTTATATTTTATATCAACTGATTTTTTATTAGTCATATGATACATATTAATTATATTTTATCATTTTATTATAATATTAGCCTGAATTTCTATCTTTCAGAGTAAACAAAGGAGCTCTTGAGCCAACTTGATCATAGAATTATCAAGCTCATGCAGGAACTCGACTAATTAATCAATCTCATGCTCAAGCTGAGGGTAGCTCGAGCTCCACACAAATCATTAGCTTTTGAGCCAACGCATTTAAAAATTTATTAATATAAAATATATTAACAATATAATAAAATTCAAGACATTATCTTAAAATATTAAAAATATTAAAAAATGTATTTTATATTTTATATACATTGATTTGTTAAAATTTATCTCATAAATTTTCATTCTATTTGTCAATTTATAATAACAAGAAATAATTAATATTGTTTTTTGTCTTCCATGATAAACAAGTTAGCTCTTGAGCCATCTAAATCATAGAATTAAGCTCAAATTCGGCTAATTTATCAAAGCACAAGCCCAAGTTGAGGGTGACCTGAGCTCGAATTGACTCGTTAACACTCCTAGCGCCAACAATTTAGATAGGAGGCCAAGTTATTTTCCC